ACCGCCATCAGTCTGGGTATTGGCCATCTGATCCTGGAAACGGATGCACAGGATGTGGTGCAGGGCATCAAGACTGACAATTTTCTAGACTGTGCTGTTGGTCACCTCCTAGCCGAAATCAAGTCTCTGGTGAGACTGAATTTACTCACTTTTGAGTGTGTGTTCAGAGGTAGAGCCGGCAATGGTGTTGCTCATGAGTTGGCTAGACTAGGATCTCTTTGCAATGAGGGGGAAGAGTTTATTTCCAGTGTGCTCCCTGATGGGATTGATGTAATGGTGGCTAACGATTTGTTAGCAGTTGAGTAATGAGAAATCACTCAGTTTCAAAAAAAAAAAAGATGATCACTTGAAAAAACTTGGACAATAAGGTCTTGTGGTTGGTAACCCGTAACCTCAATAATGTTGGTCCGCATCTTGTTGGTCTACCCTCAGGGGCGGAGCCCAGTGGAGGCAAAACCGAGCTCCCCCCCCCCCCTGGCCCAAGTAAATTTTCCAAGGCCTATTGGTATTTCCCTTGGCCCAATTGAATTTCCCAGGGTGTGCTTTCACCTCCACAAGCCAACCAAGCCCACTTAGGCACTCACGTACGCAGGACATAAAGCTGAGGGACGGCCTTCTTCTAAAAATGGAACAGAGGCAGGGAGTCGCGTCACGTGACTCGCACGCATCGCATCTTCCGCTCTTCGCCTACGGCCGTTCGGCAGGCCAGCCTTCCGCTACACTGCGTCATGCCGTGCTCTGCATCCCGACGACAGTTCACTTGTTCTTGTTTCTAAATTTCGCCCCCCTCCCTATAATTTGGGTTCACCCTCCACCGCTGTCTACCCTGGCGTACTCACTCAAACCCTCTAGGTGTTCATGTGCTTATTATTTGTGTTGCGTGCATGCTTGTTTCTTTTTTCCCTATATCGACTAATGAGAGGAATGTATTTGTGTTATGTGTATGCTTATTTCTTTTTCCTTGTATCGATTAATGAGAGGAATGTGGGCCCTGTATGGACGAAGCTTGAAAAATTGCACATGCATGACCCTTGACAGCCATATGCATCCAACTGTTTGAATTGGCTGTCAAGAATAGAATGGAATGGGCATCAAATCAAAATAAAAGACGCTTAAAATGGAATCGGGGTCGCCACTTTGTCGAGATCTCGTGGCTGCCGGGATCCTGGTAAGCTAATGGCACCGACACGCATGGATTTGTGGGATGCTAGAGGGCCACGACGCAGTAGTCAGGCCAAGGAGCAGCAAGGCACACACGTTGATCTACAAGGATAGCGGCGGCGGGGAGAAGAGAGAGAAATGATAGAGTGGAATTGGGGAGAAGAGAGAAAAATGATAGAGTAGAATTAGGAAGGGTTAGGGTTTGGCCTGGGTGTAGAGGGGGCTCCTCGGAACAAAACTACACAATTTCAAAATTTCTCTTTTTCGTGTTAGAATAAAATTTACATTAGGGGTGTCTAAAAACAACCAAACATGGATACTGTTCATGTCTGACAGACTGAGCCGCGGGTTAATTTCTAAAAAAACTATAGTGCTTTTGTGTAAAATGGACAACAGGATGTGTCAGCTCTATAGAGTAGCCATGCATCCCCGAATTCTTGTGTGAGCAATCAGTTTTTAACTAACCCAATCCATCTTTTCGTTGACGCACTAGCCCGTGCCGCCATGTGTACCCTTGCAACAGCCAACGCCTACTTAGGGCCGGGGTTGCCACTGCACTACAGTCCAGGACCCAGCAACCCCGGCTTTGTACGAGAGCGTCAACCCGCTCACCCCGCCCAAAGCACCATTGCCTCCATTGAGGACCTCTCCACATAAACCCAACAAGCAGCCCGGGTGGTGGACAAACAACAGCTTCCTCTGCATCGAGTAGTGTACATTCCACCGACCTCTGTCACTTCATGGTTCAGTCTCGGCCCATGCTCGCAATTACCCTCTCTTGATGACTAAGACATGGATCGGCCGGGAGATGGACAAGTGGAAGTCCAAAACTATCTGAACAGGTCGGTCACTAACCACCTTCTCACTTATTTGTTACTCCATTATTGTACTCCATTCATTTGTTGCATTTTGGACACCATAGTATTCATTTAATAATATACCAAACAAAGTTAGAAACAAAATAAACAACAGTAAAACATTTAAGGGTATTCTCTAATGTGGTTCAAGGCTATTATACTATTTACAAAGCTAAGTCCATTGATGTACCATGATTGGGGAGCATTAGAAACAATCACATCGAAGACCTGATGCTAGCTGAAGATTCTAATGGCAAAAAGCTAATTATCACCAAGGAACCGGTAGTCAAAGACAATGCTACTGTCGCTGAAAGATTAGATTATTTATGGGCAATATGGCATATAGTCCAATCATTCTATCTAGTCGAAGACCGATTGCCCTTGTATTTTTGAGCGGTTACAAAAGGATCCGCTGAATACCGCACATTTAGAACACAGATTCGTGGAGTACCTTCGGTAACACCGAGTGCTTTATGTATCTAATCCCTACAAAAATCTTATTGGTGGGATTCATCTTGTTGCTTGCAAATCAAAGATCTCATTCACATATTCATTGTCTGTTCTTTTCACCCTTCCCCTTTTAAAAATGATTGGCATAAAGATATTAAAAGTGGAGTTTACATTCTATTTCCTATTACAGGTAGAAGGAGAGGGAGAGTAAGGAGAAGAAAGAGAAGAAAAATATTGTCTAGGACCGAACATAAGAGAGGTGGGAGTAGAGAAGGAGTGGAGAGAACGAGAGAGATGAATGAATCAATGGTTCCCCTCCACCTTCCGTCTCCCCCCTTTTATAAGGGTGGTGGGTGGGGAGGTTTTCGTTATTCCCCCTAGTGAGTCTTGCATTTACAAAAGAGTCTCGCTACAAATGACTTAATGAGCCCTAAACATTATCTCACAGGCCTCTGGAGATTGGACTTGTGTGCTGAGGTCCGGCCTCTCCTTAAACTTGTGGAAGAGACGGAGAGGGAGCTTGTGTGCTGAGGGCCGGAGAAAGGATGTGGAAGAGACGGAGAGGGAGCTTGTGTGCTGAGGGCCGGAGAAAGGATGCAAAAGAGACGGAGAAGGAGCTGAAGCAGCCATGGAGAGAGCCACACGAAAGAAGAAAAGAACGTCTAGGGAGGGAGACTGACTAGAGGACATGTGTTGAGAATGGAGGATTTAACTCTATTGAATAATGATTTCATGTCTGAAAAAAGTACATGTCAGGGGGTATTTATAGAGGATGGAACCTTCGTTAATCCTAATACAATCTCTATAATACCCCTGAAGCGATAGCTTCAAACGATTAGAGCTTTCATTACATTCAAGGGCAATTTGGTCATTACATTGCCGATACTGCGGTTCTGCTTCTTCTATCAAGCTTCGCAAGACGAGTCTTCAGGATGAGTCTTCATGAGCTCAAGACAAGTTGACTTCGTTCCACTCGCCCTTGACTTCACTTCACCGTGAAGTGGGCCGATCGCCTTCGACATTCCATCTTCAGCACGAGGCGAACTGATCACCTTTGAACCTTCACCTTCGGCTTCATTCCTTTGTGCTTGTCTTCGCCGTTCAAGCTTTGCCGAATTCTTGCGAAACCATGTAGTTTTTTTTCAGTCTACTTTATTCATGTTTGTTTCTTCATTTTGCATTTCTTTGCTCCAAATAGTCTTGCACTGACATCCCGCATCCAGCGATTCCATTCCACTCTGCATTCCTCTAGTGACTTCATTCCTCTGTTTTGCATTCCTTTGTTCCAAAACAGTCATGCAAGCATCTGCTCCAAAAAAGAAAGAGCGGAGCGCTTCCCAACTACTGTCGCCGCCGTCGGCCTTGTCTAGGCCACCGCTCGGTCCCCCTCCTATCTCCTAACCGGCGATCTCGTCGGTGGATAGAGGAGCGGGGGCATGATCCCTTTCTCCTTCGTAGTTCTTGGTTAGGTTTGTGGATCGTTGTTGATCTAGGTTTTGGTTTCTGGTGTCATTGTCGAGGTGGTGGCGACGATGATACTTTGAAATAGTGTCTTTCCAGTCTCTCCCTACCTCGACAATGTTCGATCTGGCACCGACGAAGGGCTAGTGAGAGTTTGGTCTGTCATATTTGTTGTTCTTCATAGATCTTGGCTTTTGGTGTGCTTATTAGAGGAAGCAATTGGTTGGCTTTCGATGCAGCGATCTTGAACTATTCTTTTGGTATGTTCTACAGCAAAGTCCGGCATCTTCAACACGTTGGTATGAGGGTGAAGGATTGTAAGCCTGTGTCCTTTGGAGGTTTCCTCCCGCCGATATTCTTTCAGTGGGTACTAGATCTTGTTGTGAGTGGCGAGTGGCGAGTGGCTTTTTCGATCTTCAAAGCTTTTTTGACGAATCTTCAAACTCAAGGTAGTGGATGTTCGAAGAAAGGAGACGACCGATTTGGTATTCGATGTACTCTTATTTTTTAGAGGTCGTTTTATATCTTATTGTCTATCTTTTGTACAAGCCTTTGTTTTTCTTGAGATATATCAGATGTGACACTCTATTGAGTGTCTTTATAAAAAAAAAAGTCATGCACTGACATTCCCGGATCCAGGAACTGACAGAGCATTTGTTGTACAAGACCAAGTTTGTTGCTGGATTATGGACGATGATCATGTGTCGGAGGCATTGAGAAGGCAGTAGTTGGTGTTGACAAGAGTATATAACATAGAACGTCCGCCGAACCGCCTGAATATGGAGGAGCTAATAATGAAGGCACAATATTATATTCCTGTCTATCATAGTGGACATTATCAAGGTCCGCGTAATGATGAGCTTGACTCACATCAGGAGCTCCGACGAACAAAACGCAACCACAAATGCTAACTTTAAGAACACGCTAGGAATCACACACATGAGCATGGTTGCTCACACATTACAGTTTGCATCACATGATCACATCATGAGAGCGTGGTGGATTTAAACGCGAGCTCCCCCATGTCAGCATCGAAATGTGCCTCCACATGCATCACCGAATTCGCTGGATTCACTTGTACAGGTTTGCTAAGCAGCTGCACTCCTTGCTTCCAGTGTCTGCTCTCTGAGCTCAACATCCACACGTCAATAGCAGGTGGCCATCAGATTCCATTGCAAATCCCAGGCTATATAGTATATTCATTTTAAACGGCACCACATGGATGTGCATCATCCTTACCTGGTCCGGTGCTTATCACAATGGAATTTTCCTCGTCAAGTACCCAGTCGATCCAAACAGCAAAACCATGGCATGTTCCATTTTGGCCAAACTCAATCTGCAAGATGGTATGTATAAAGGGTTAGGGACCCCGAAGGCGGGAAGAGAGAAAAGCTGCATCCAAGAGTATAGTTATCTAGTAATACGAGGAAAAGACAGAATAGCTTCCATGCTGGTTGAACATGTGAAGAATATCATTCCTGTATCAAATTTGCGCATGCCCACTATTCTACTAATCATACTGCTTTGAGGTTTGGTATCATTATGATTTGCTGAATATATATCAGTCCTAGTTTCATTGGTAACCCTGCAACCTTTCACAAAAAAAAAAATACAGCAGAATTGCACCAAAAAGACATCGAGCAGACTGTCAGCATTAGGGTCTGAACAACTGAAATCCCCTACTCTCTCAATTTTCACAATATTTATCAATTCCATCATAATCACCCAGGCTAGTACTCAACATCTTGCATATTTGAAGTGACTAGCACAGCCAGAAATGTCAACCGTGATATACTTTGTCCAGAAAAATTAAAATGATACCTTTGTTTCACCAAAACAAGAGTGAATAGGCTCAGAAAAGTTGAAGTCCATGAGAGAGTACACTTCACTTAATTTCTGTAGAAAAGAATGACAGATTATTAGTTGCATTTTAGTGAAACAAATATTTGTCACGTGTTTAGAATGTGGCAGTGATTTTACCTTGGTATAACCGCATTGCCACACATAATAAGGTAGGCAAGGGCCTTGCTGATCTCCAGGCAGGTCACCACAGGCTCCTAAAGTATCATTAACAACTGAGTGGTCAAAACCCTCAACATCTTTAAGGCCACGACGGCTTCTCCACAAGTCCTGCAATATCATAATTCTCAGGACAGAGAGAAGAATTTATGCCCAAGCGAAGACAATAGAGCCAATAGAAACGGAAAGGTAGATATATGATAGGCTAACCGGAAGTGACATGGCACAGAATCTTAATGTTCCCTTACAAGGCATGATGAATGCATCCTCAGATAGCAATGGATCAAGCAGTGTCCTTTCATTCCTAGTGTCAGAACAACGTGTTTTTTAAACTAAAAACAATAAAAAAAGCAATGAAAAACACAAAAGGAGTTTCATATAGGATAAATAAGCTTCAGGTTGCCCTTTGACTTGAAGGGGAAATTCTATATTAGTAAAATGAATTGTTAAGAAATTTCATCAATGTGGACAAGTGAAAACCCTACAAACTAGGTGTAACACCCTAACTTCACATCCAGCCCGTACAGAGTCTCGAACTTTTTCTCTTGATTCTCCTAAACCGGTTAACCCGGCTGGTATGGATGGGTCTCCATGGTTTGTATATGCAACTATAACTAACCATGTGGGACTCAGACCACTACTTCCAGCCAAACATGGACCAACTTGGACTAGAGTGTTACACTGGGTGACTCCTATAGCAAATAACTGGAAGGAAAATAGGGAAAATAAAAAGTGGTAGCCAATAGTTATGGCACAAAGTTTGATTCAATGGGTAATGATTAATATGAGTTAAAATATCTTATACGAACCAGAAACGCAGATTTTGCCATGGCAGCATCCCTTCACTTCCATGATAAAAAGGCTCCCCCACTATCAGATTAACCTAGAGTGATAAAGGATCAAGGATCATTCATGATTCATAAACACTATAGTATGGATTTGGGAATTAAATGATGATGAAAAATATCGGACTTCAACAGTCTTTACCTTTTCATGATTTAAGTCATTCATAGTAAGGGATGATGCCTTTTTACCAATCACTTTAATCCGGTCCATGGATAAATTATTTGCATCTGCAACAGCTTGAAGATAGTTGAAGCCCCTGTCTCTAAGACTTGGAAACATTGTAAAAATTTTTGAAGACGGTAACAGAGAAGAAACTATGAGAGTTAGGAACACGCTATCATCAGCCACAATGCAGGTCGGAGAGGATCTTTCACTCATCTGGGCAGAGAAAAGTTAAACACGAAAAAGTTAAGGTGGGGAGAAGCACAGGATAGAACAGCTACAAATAGTGTCAGATCACAGAGTTGACCAATATGATTCTGTATTCTTAAAAATGAGGAAACTGCATCACAGATTGAAAGGTTGCACAGGCTTTTGAATATTGGGATACTTATTAAAATTCTTCAGAAGTTACAGTGAGCAATCATAGTATGAATGTATGATGCACAAGCTCATGGAATACTAGTTGGATAAGAACATATTATACAAAGTAAATCGTGGGATTACTTACAGAATTCCTGATTACACTTATCAACGCTGATCTCCAACCTTTATCACCATAAAGTGCTACCTTTTCTGGCAACAATGTTAGATGGTTACTTTTGGGGCTTCTACTTCCTTCACCATTCATATTCAACTGATATGAGATGCTAGTTTGGTTATGGCTAGCGCTCAAAGAAAGAGCTTGATCTTTCTTTGCAGGAGCCCCTGTCCCTTGTATAAACCAAACACACTGCTTCCAATGATCACACCAATCCTTTGTGCCTAGCAAAGGAAATAAGGGAACAAATGGTGTAAATAAGCTTAAAATATTCCAAGCACCCTGCCCTAATATTATTACCCTTCTAGAAGGCTATTCTATTCCAGTTTCTAGGTAGAGAAATGAACTAGGTGGTCTTGAAAGCTTCACATGGATAAACTGCCACTTCCACAGTCTACTTCAAAATAGATTTCTACACATTAAAATATAGAAATAGCATTCAAACTCTTAAAACAATACGTCATGCACCAAAAGATAATATGCCAAAATCAATTATTCCTCCCGCAAGATGCTAGGTTGCATCAATACAGTTTGCAATGTGAGCATCACCGCCATGCAGGCAGAGTAACATTGTGCTTTTTCCTTAAAATACAGCATATGATGTACAGCATTTCAGCACTGTGTTGTTGTGCCAATAAAAGTTTCTACTTATAAGTAACAATAGACTACTAGTTCTGCATGCATGGTATAAGAACTAATCCAGGGGAATTCCTTAAATGAATGGAGAAGAAGAAATAGTGCACAAGGTGAGAATCACAATAGTTTTTCGAACCATTGGCATATTGTGGTAAATCCACACTGCTGGATTGTCTCACCCATCTAGGAGCAGTTGAGTAAAAGACTGACCCAGCAGAATCCAGTTGAAGCACCCACCTGCAATCAAACACAAGCAAATTCAGAGAAATTTTAGGAGAGTAGAGAGACAACAGGACCTTGTGGTTACCATGAAACAATAGCATGAGCATGCCCATCAGCAGTTGCTTTTATCTCAATCTTTGTTTCACGATGACTATCTGGCCGTTTCGAAAAGTCAAATTCAAAAACTTGGAAGGGTTCTGACAGCTAAAGCAAAGAAATTAGAACTTGGAGCAACATAAGATAAAACAGCATGCGAAGAAAAACTCCGTACCAATCTTATTTCATCTGCCAGCGCATCACATTGCATCGCATGTTGTTGCGACTTCACAGAAAGAACATTTTGTGTTCCACTAGGAGTAAGCCACACACCATCTTCAGCAATTGCTTCATTGCTGTGCAGATCATGCATCTTCCACAAGGATGTGCTCTCAACTAACTAGAACACCAACAGGTTGAGGTTTATTTAACATGAGATATTACCAGGAAGAACTTATATGGTATTCTAAAAAAATGCAGCAGGCAGCACTAACCACTCCATACGTAGTAGCTCGATATGGAACCGTCTTTGGATTTTTCACCAATAACATGTCATGCGCATGCTGTAGAGAAGGTATGAGACCCTCACCCAACAGCTCAGAATCAAGAATTTCACTTACCTGCACAGTGCCAAATGACTTGGTATCGCTAAGTGCAAGAACGATTACGAAATGTTGTGTACTATATGTTGCTGTTTAATGAGAATTGAGATCTATTGCTTGGGGGTAACAGAGGGGCTGATATTCAAATCTTTAGCATGCATAAGTGGACAGTTGAAGAAGCATCATAGGGTACATACTTGCCACAGCAATACTATGGCTCAATTCAGAGGCAAATTGCGTTTTGCTATAAGAGCTGGGGGCTTTTCGATACAACAAAATACTATGACAGTGGAGCCAAGATACAGGATAGAGAGGTTACCAGTATATCAGCTCGAGAATCAAGCTCGACCCCAACTCTGAGCTCATCTGAACGCTTGTGAAATACTTTGACCTTGTTTTCCATCCCATTGGCTCTGAGTACCCTACGTGTTAGTTTGCCCATTGGAAGGTAGGACTCACATGCTGACACGCTTCCCCTACCTTCACCTCCAGCAGCTGCCAAAGCTCGCGCAGCCATCATGGACAGCAACCCCGTCCCAGCTCTAGATTCCATACCATACCTGAGCATCAGCATACTTGGGAGCCAAAGCCAATCCAACATTTGGTGGTGGCGGCTGAAACTGGAAGAGAACGGAGGCTCTACGGCTCACCCGATGTCGAGGACGCGGGCGGTGGGGTCCGTGACCGTGGCGTCGATGGAAAGGCGGTACGCGCGGTTGCGGGGGGCATCGTTGAGCATGTCGAGGTAGGAGGTGGCGGCGAGGAGCTGCTTGTGGTGGGTCGGCGCAGGCGCCTCCGCTTCCGCCTCGTCGACAACGAGCCACTCGGAGTCGCCGGTGAGCGGGTTGACGCGGAGCTGGAAAGCGCGGGTCGGCCCGGAGGAGGCCATTCTGCAGCGGCGGCGGCGGAGGAGGAGGCGGAGAGCGGCCGGCGGTGGGCGTAGCGCGATGCCGGGGAGGAGGCAGCTCGGCATCGGCGGACGGCGAGGCGGCGGCGGATGCCTCTCTTGGCGGCCTCAGTGACACGTGGCAGATCGAGGCCGTTCGTTTTCGAACGGACGTGGATGATGCTCCGGAGCATATGGGCCCGGGCGGTCCAGCGAGAGCCTAACGAAGCCCGGCTCCGATGGGCTCAGCCCATTCACGGCTGCCTGCGCCAGGCCCAGCAACTAACTGCCCTGTCGCTGAGTCGATCTCCCTCTCCTTATTCCTTTGCACATTTCTCGAATCGAGGAATCAATTTGGCCTGTTTGGCTCCTCCGATCCCGATCGCCGGTGGCCATGGCGCGCGCCTCCCTATCCCTATCCCTGCTGCTCCTCCTCCACTCCTTCCCCTCTTCCTGTTCCTGGTAATCGATCCGCTCCTGTCCAGCTTATGGATGGCAACGGGGATGTACCCGTCGGGGTGGCAGTCCACCGGCTCCTTCTCCCACAAGGGGATAGGCAGGTCCGGCAGCGGCGCACGCGACCCGGTGAAGGGGTCGGCGAGGTGGCATGGGTGCCTGTCGCACATGTCCGTGGCCAACAAAGTTTCCCGTGTTGGACAAACTTTTTTCTATAATGCTGCGTACAAGGAGTCCGTCCGCCCGGACGATGTCAATGGTGGGCCGCGACGCAGCCAACGACCATTCATTCACTCACCCTCGTGCCCCCAATCGTTTAAAAAAAACCTTCTAATCCCTTCCGCACCCTCCTCCACTCCACCCGTCCCGTCTCAAACACGGATGTCACTCTGCCTTACTAGTGTGCCGCATGCCCCATCCGACGCTGATCGCTCGCCCCCTCCCGTCGCGCGCGCTGGTGCTGGTGGTGCTCGCTCTGCTCGTCGCACGCGCCGCCCCGCCGAGCCAAGACCGGTGCTGGTGGCGTGGTGGCGGTGGTGCGCGAGCGCGCTGCTGGTGCTGGTGCGCTCGCCCGGCCGAGCCAAGCCCGCTGCTGCTGGTGGTGGTGCTTGCGCACCAACGCTTGCGGCTGGAATCGACCTGTCCCGGCCTTCTCCTCCCCTATGTTGCATATGCATGTTTCAATTGTTTCAGGTGTATGTTGCAATTATTTCATTTTGATGTTGGAAAAATAGATCGTGGGATGTTGCATATGTTGCAAATGTTTTAGATGCATGTTGCAAGCATTTGTTCAAAAATGTTTTATCTGTTTCTAGACGTATGTTCCAATTGTTTTTGATCTGGATGTTGCATATGTTCTACACATATGTTTCAACGGTATGTTCCAAAATCTTTCAGTTGTTTTAGTCTTATGTTGCAGCAAGTGGTTTCATGTGTTCCACACACATGTTGCAAGTGCATGTTCCAAGTGTTTTATTTGTTTCCAGACGTATGTTGCATCCAATTTTTTTTTTGTTGCAGTGTTTTATGTCGTTCGGTCGGGGGCGAGCCGGGGGGCAGGAGGACGGTGCGCGCGGCGCGCTGGGGGGTTGCAGACGAGGGTGTTGGGGGCAAGCGGGTGGGTGCTCCGTCAGGCGCGCGCCGGGTCCCGGCTCTCAAGTGCCGCCCACGCGAAGAGAGAGGAGCGTGTCTGGGGAATGACCGGCGGGCGCAGATACGGGGACGGAGTGCGCGCATGGGGCGGGTGAATCCGGACTAGGGTGGGGCAATGGCGAACTGGGGCAGGCTACGCCCAACCAGCAGCAGAACCAGGTGGAGGAGGTGGTGAGATACGTCTCCATGGAGGAGCAGGTCATGACCGAGCTGGTGGAGAAGAGCAAGAAGAAGAAGGAGCTGGTGACACAGGAGATCAACCAGGCTGAAATGGGACCCTATTTGTCTTATGAGGTCTGGAGCTACGTGATGTCCATCGGCGTGTTCACGTTTAAGGACTGCACCATCAATGAAATCGAGATGATCTGCGACCCCTCCACAGAAGACATAAGGTTTGCTTCTCGTAGGAGGCGCATCGAAAACCAGGCGAACCTGCTCCGGCAATACCGCACCAATGGACACGTGGTCCTCCAGTACGAAGTCACCGACGACGAGAGGGATGTGGAGGTGTAGAATCTGTGTTCATTTGCTAGAAGCTGTGTTAGGGAGTTGATGCTATCTTCATTCATGGGCGACCTTTGTCGGATGCCTAAGTTGTAGTATCTTGTCTGCGATGCAGCTATCCTAAGATCAACTCATTATTATATATCATGTAATCATGCATCCTGGTGTGTTATATTGTCATGATCTATTGCTACTGGTTACTCAAATGTATCAAGTACAAGCCACTAATATCTGCTTTAGATATCTATATTATCGTCGTAACATGTACATTTTGTGTCTGCTTTTTTCTATGCATTCAGTGTTTGATGGCACTGAAAGGCTGAGATGTTTTATGCTATGGTCAACTGAAGATTGCTATATAACGGATAGTTGCTCAAGACAGGCATGCATTTGATTTACTTGTTTTGCTACCATACCACACCTTGTGCCGCTGCTTGCAGTTAAATTAAATATAGTGAGATTCATTAAGAGTTAGTAGATGTTGCATTTGATGGGGTCTGTTATGGTGTGGAGCCTTTGTTTTGTCATAGCATTCTGTACATGTGGTCGTGCCATAGCTTATCTTTCTGTTTCCTGTTTCCTTTTTTTTTGGCATGATCCTGCATGAGCACAAGGCTTCAGAAGATCACCCGCTGGCACAACATAGACAAGTGCCGTGACAGAGGTCAGTGATCACACTCCCACTCCACCTCTTAGGCAGCAGATTTCAGGTGACTAGCCCCCCCTTAAGTTAGGCGCTGCACCATCTTTTTTATCGGGCCCTGATTGCCTCCTCTGATCAGCTCATGGACAGTGGGCATGTCTTTCTGAACCAAAAAATGCATGATCATTGACCATGTTGAAGTGTTCTTAATTAATACAATGATAGTGTCATACAATATATCTGTTGGAGCCTTTTGGAACATTTTCTATCAATTTGCACTTGTCTCGTCATGCTGCTTATAGCATTGTGTGAGTTTGCAAATTGCACTACATTTAAACACTTTTGTTGCCTGCTTACACTGCTGAAGATCAAGTGATGAGCAATTAACTGCTCCAACGATATGATTGGAGTTATTCCCCTATGATTCCCAAGTATTTAAGTCTCTGATGATCCCATCTTTGTCCTTGTGCGTCATATTCGGAGAAGCATTATACTAAACAATGATTGTCATTGTTTCTCTTTGAAAATCTCAACATTTTGTAATTGAGCCTCATAGCACTACTTGTCCTACTCCTACATCCATGTTGCTATATTTCTTGGGGATACATAGCTGGGTTTTTCTTGCCTGTTTCCATGGTCAGATGATGAGTATTAAACTGCAATAATATGATTTGATATTATTCTCCTGTGATTGAATTTAAGTCTCAGATAACCCCTCCACGACATCCAGAAAGCTTTCGACATGGTCAGCTGGAGCTACTTGCTTGAGGTGCTGCAAGCTCTCGGGTTTGGGTCTCGCTGGCTCGAGTGGGTCTCCATCTTATTCCGCACAGCAGCCTCTAGAGCCTTGCTAAATGGCGTGCCTAGAGGAAAATTCTGCCATGCCAGAGGGGTGCGACAGGGTGATCCGCTATCACCTATGCTCTTCATCTTAGCCATGGACCCATTGCAGCGATTGTTGGACCTTGCTACCAGCACAACGTCCTCACGCAGCTGCCTCTTGTTGCGGCAAAGTGGAGAACGTCCATGTATGCTGATGATGCTGCAATCTTCGTAAAGCCAAAAAAAGAGGACATCGACGCCGTCAAGTTCATTCTTGAGACATTCGGGAAGGTGTCTGGGCTGTGCATAAACATGGATAAAAGCTTTATCCACCTGATTAGATACGAAGATATCGACCTTGATCATGTTCCCTCGTCCTTTTCGGGGACCAGAGACACTTTTCCGTGCCGCTACCTTGGTCTATAGCTGCACTACAGGCCACTGTGTAAATTACACGTGCAACCCCTCATAGAGCAAATCGGCCAGAGATTACCGGGCTGGAAGGGCAAGTTGGTAAACAAAGCAGGATGCTTAATGCTGGTCACTTTGGTCCTATTGTCTATGCCTACCTACCACCTCACTGTCTTCCCACTTGCTGCCTAGACCAAAAAAAATAGATTGACAGAATCATGAGTCATTCCTTTGGAAAGGGAAAGAGAACGCAAATGGAGGTCACTGCCTTGTCAACTGGCCGACAGTGTCAAAATCAAAAGAACTTGGTGGCCTTGGGGTCCCAGACTTGGAGAAATTTGGGAGAGCGTTGCGATTGCATTAGCTGTGGCAGGACTGGACAGATCCCTCCAAACCTTTGGCTGGTATGGACTTGCCTTGTAAACCAAATGGATAGACTCCTCTTCAATGCCTCAACCATCGTCACTGGTCGGGGACGAAGAAGAAAGCACAATTTTGGCATCATAATTGGCTGGACGGTGAAGCTCCCAAAAACCTTGGGCCACACCTCTTTGAACTTGTTAAGAGGAAAAACAGAACAGTCCAGCAAGAGCTCAACAATAACAGTTGGATTCGCTTGCTCAGAGGCAAGATCACAACAGCCACTCACTTAGAGGAATTCGTCTCACTGTGGCTCAGGGTACAGGGCATCTAGCTGCAGCCTGGAATATGGGACTCCATTGTTTGGAAGCGGTCAACAGATGACATTTACTCAACCCAATCAGCATACCGCATACAATTCCAAGGATCCTACCGCAGATTCCGCTGGATTCTCATACAAAACAAGATCCTAATGGCAAACAACTTGCAGCTAAGAAATTAGCCACACCAAGACAATTGTGTGTTGTGCAACGGACCACTGGAAACGGCCCTTCACTTGTGCCTGTTGTGCCCCCTGGCCATAGAAGTCTGGCACCTTGTGCTGGGGTGGGAACACTTTGATGTGGACTTAATTCGGCCTCAGGTGCAGCCATCTAGCATAAGGGTGTGGTGGGAAGAGGGGGCGGCCAACACCCCAAGGCAGAGACGTAGACACATCAACGGGGGTGGTCATGTGCACAATGTGGAACATTTGGAAGGAAAGAAACAGAAGGATTTTCCAAAATTTGGTGATGGATGTCCGGCAGATAGCCTCCAAAACCAAAAAGGACATCGACCTATGCCCTAGGGTCTTCAACAACCTGACTTAGACCTTGTATTTGTCCCCCAGGACGTGTGTGCTATGTGCTTTACTTTACTCTGTGTGCCCTTTGGGAGTTGTTGTGCCGATGGCACTTTCTGTTCATAAACTCTCTTTCCTTCCTTAATTGAGAGGCAGAGCTCCTGTCAGGTTCATTCAAAAAAAATTCTAGATTTTCTTTGCATTCTGTGTCTGTTTCTCTTATGATTTTGCCTTCCCGGTAGCTTCACATATTTCTGCTTCATTTGTTTGCCTCATGAGTTTAGGTTTACAATGATAGTATGAGTTCTAAGGGATTGAACTGCATTGATTGGAAGTCCTGTAAACAATAAACCTTGTTTTAGTTTATAAGCCGTGTTCGATTCAACTTCATATGCTTTGCCCCTGACCTGGATGAACTCAATGTTAACATAGTGGTTCATGATTAAACTTGTGAAGCTGAAATTGGGCTTATAATTAAGATGTGTTGCTTGGAATGTTCTATCTTTCTTGCATAAGAAGGGCAGGAAGTAGGCATACTAACAAGGAAGGCTCTGCATGTTCTGTTTTCATCCCTAACTATAACATTATGAATTTTCAGTACAAATCTCATAATTACACTGGCTACTATTCGGTTGATGAATAAGCTTGATGACATTTTCAGGTCTGCTGTTGCTGGTGACTTGAGTAGGCTTGGGCAAGTTACCTATTACTATTGCCACTTGTGGTACCATCGAATAGCAACTCCATCGCTGCACTAGATTCATGGATGGTAGCTTCTAATGTGTTAGCCTTTTAGATTTCAACTATTTTTTGCGAGGATTGTCAGAGCTCAGATTCATTTGTGTTTGGTGTGGCTCTGAGAGATGCCTCTACTGTACTATGAGCTTGGATAAGTATAGTGGCCTCATGTGACGATGAAACAGTGCTAGGCTTTATTCTGAGAGACATCTGATTAGTTAAGTATTGTATTGAGTGATTCCATTTGTGATTATGATAAGGATAATGTCTCAGACCATGTTTTGCTTTATTATGAGTGTAACCAGATCAATTTGAAAGGGCTAAGATCATGTTTTGCTTTATTATGATCGGATCAATTTGAAAGGGCTATGGACACATGTGCACTGAATTGTAATGATCCCTGCCTAACTGAACAGCAAACAGAGAGAGCAGGGATTGAGGATTAGCTTGGGGGTTGGATTTTAGTCATAAACAAGGCAGCAGACGAAAGATGAAAGCAGCATCGTAGAATGTGCTCTGCATGGAGATCATGGCCATGCACAACCACACAGGACGTCTTTTTAGATGAAATTTTCACCTCCCCTTCTCCTTTGTGTAGTTGGATCACACAAATTGAGACATCGGAACATCATGAAGATATATGACAGAAATAGTAAAAATCTGAATTCATTACCGCAAACTGAGAACTGAAGTAGCCATGAAGTATTTATTTGGCTTATGCAATTCGGACTCAGGATTTGTAATTATTCCAATCACAACTACAGTAATTCCAATACGTGCAATCATTCCAAAAACGTTATCCCTCTTTGATCTCAGCGTATCCCTTGGTGCGGCCGAATTCTCTTTGCTCCTGGAATTCAGAGGTGATTTCTTCCTTGATATCCTCTTTGATCTCGACGTATCCCTTGGTGCGGTCGAATTCTCTCTTCTCCTGGAATACAGAGGTTATTTCTTCCTTGATCTCCTCTTTGATCTCGGTGTATCCCTTGGTGCGGTCGAATTCTCTCTTCCCCTGGAATTCAGAGGTGATTTCTTCCTTGATCTCCTCTTTGATCTCGGCGTATCCCTTGGTGCGGTCGAACTCTCTCTTCTCCTGAAATTCAGGGGTGATTTCTTCCTTGAGTTTCTCAGTCGCAGGGTAGCCCATCAACTCCTCGGTGGGCCGATACTTGAGGAGTATCTGGCTCAGCGTCC